CCAATTACCCAATAAAAATCTTAAAAAAAAAAAAATAGGGGAAGGAATTAAGAAGTATAAAGTAGCTGTTACAAAGTAGTCATGGGGATGTGGTGTTTAGCATAAAAAAATAGTCATTAATATTATAATAACTATAGTGTCATGTGGCTACTCGATTTATTGGGGTGAGAGATGGGATTGGGGGAGAGGGTGAAAAAGGTGACGGGATTAAGAGGTACAAACTGAAAGTTACAAAACAGTCACAGGGATGTAAAGCATAGGGAATATAATGAATAAGAAGGTAATAACTATGTATAGTGCCACGTGAGTACCCATCAGGGGTCACTTCTTAAATTATATAAATGTCTAACCACTATGCTGAACACCTGAAATTAATATACAATATTGTCAACTGGAATTGAAAAATTAAAAAGGGGGCGGGGGAAGGTGAAGAGAAACAAGAGGCTCAAAGTTCCAGGTATAAAACAAGTCGGGGATAGACTGTACAACATGGGGAATATAGTCAATAATATTGTGATAGTATGGTACAGTGTCAGGTGGTTGCTGGACTTATGGTGATCACTTATTTATGTATATCAATCTTGCGTAGCTATCGTGTACACCTGAAACTAATGTAATATTGTATGTTATCTATATTTTAATTAAAACCTTAAAAAAAAAAATGGGCATGACCTGAACAGGCACTTTTCCCAAGAAGACATACAAATGACCAACAGACATAGGAAAAGATACTCAATGTCACTCATCAGGGAAACGCAAATCAAAACCACAATGAGCTATCACTTCACATCTATCAGAATTGATATTAATAAGACAATAACAAGGTTGGAGAGGCTGTGGAGAAAAGGAACCCTCATACATTGTTGGTGGGAATGCAGATTGGTGCAGCCGCTATGGAAGGCAGTGTGGAGGTTCCTCAAAAAATTAAGAATAGAATTACCATATGACCCAGCAATCCCTGTGCTGGGTATATGCCCCCCAAAACTGGAACACATTTATTTATAACGATATACATACCCCCATGTTCGTTGCAGCATTTACGGGGGCCAACACGTGGAAACTGAAGTGTCCTTCGATAGAGGATTCGATAAAGAAGAGGTGGCACATATATACAATGAAATACTACTCAGCCATCAAAAATGATGAAATGTTGTCATTTGCCACAACAGTGATGGACCTTGAGAGTATCATGCGAAGTGAAATAAGTCAGATGGAAAAGGACAAGAATCATAGGATTTCACTTATATCTGGGCTATAGAACAGAGCAACCAACTCATAGACACAGGCAACAGCATGGAGGTGACCAGACAGGAAGGATGAAGATGGAGGAGGTGGTCAAATATATGGTGACGGAAGGAGATTAGACATTGGGAGGTGAGCGCAGAAGGCAATATTCAGGTCATGTATTATAGAATCGTACACCTGAAGCTTAACTTATATAATGTTATTAACCACTGTTACTTCCACTGTAAATGTATACACATTTTAAGAAAGAAGAAAACTATTAAAATTGTAATACTCAATACATACCAGTAACGAAAGATGAATACAAGTCACGTTTGACTTCTGCAATGACAAGAGGTGCTCAAAGTGGTTCCCATCAGTGTCCAGACACTTCTGATGACGGCGAACCACTGCTTGAGCAACGCTGATCAAAGTGCCCACTTGTATACTTTTTTTTTTGCACTCCCAGTATATATGTATTTCAGCCATGAAAGGAGGGATAAAACATGTTGGAGAATCTTGGTAACTGCTAACCTTGGTGATGGGTCTCTGGAGACGCACTGTACTATTTTCTGTTTGAAGTTTTTCATACTGCATTTTATACTAAACTTGTGCTTTTAATAAAGGTTGACGGGTTCAAACCATTTAAAATCACCCCCTACCCCGTATCACCAGTAGTAAACGTGGCATGATTTGGGAACCCTGTGTGCTCCCCAGGACTGAGAGATTCTGTGCCCAGCGCCTGATACACAGCAGGCACTGGGTAAATACTACAGGTAACGCTTCCTGAGAGCTATTCTAAGCACTTTACCTGAATTAACTCATTCTGTCCTCACGACAACCCTGTGAAGCCGGTACCATTACTATCCCCGTTTTAGAGGTGAGAAAACTGAGGCACCGAGGGGTTATCCTACTTGCTTTTAAGGTCACACAGCTGAAAGAGGCTGAGCTGGGCATCAAACCGAGGCCGCCTGGCCCCTGCTCCGAACCCCTTCAGGTGAGGGGCCACCCCAGTGCCCGCCCCTCACCTGTACGGACCAGCTCCCCAATGAGCTCCTCCTTCATGCGGATGTTGATGGCCAGCTCTCGGATCTTCTGCTGGGCTTGGGCCAGCCGCCACTCGGAGGCAGCGGGGACCTGCCGGGGCCGAGCCTGGGCCTTGCTCCCACGAACCACTGTAGAAGAGCCGCTGTCAAGGCTGCTGCCCCAGCCCACGGTGGGAGAGGCACAGGGGGCGAGGGGAGAAGCATGCCCTGGGCAGGGGCGGGCCGGGATGAGGTGTGTAGTGTCCAGGGGAGCCAGTCAGGGACCGCGGAGGAGAGGAGGGGCCAGGGCCCCCTGCATCCCACCAAGCCCACCTCTGGGCTCCAGGATGGCTGCACCCAGCTCCTCAGGGCCAAGCTCTGGGTCCTTCCTGCTGGGCGGACTCCCTGGGCCTGCCTCCTCCCTCTGGGTCCAGTTGCTGATCCCATTTCTGGAGGGCAGAACAGGCGCCTGTACCTCCCCGCAGCCCAGTCACCTCCTGGACCAGAGGGAGGAAGACAGGCCACCGGCCTTTCATCCCCCCAGGGTCAATGGAGCCCCGGGGTGTCAGCCCGGCAGAACCTGAGGCCAGAGGCCAAGCCTAGAGGGTACGGGGCAGCTGGGGGGCACCGAGGACCACCTTGGAGACTGAGAACAAGGAAGGCTGGCCCGCTCCGCAACACACCTACCCCAAGAACTTTGTTCAGGTCCCACAGCTCCCGTCTGCTCTCCCTTCAAGGGCCGGCCAGTGTGACGTACGTGAGGGCACCCCGAGGCCACAGGGTCCTCTCAGCCCAGGCCCTGACCCGGTCCCTGTCTGGTCGGCAGTGGGTCCTACTCACCTACGCAGGTGCAGGGTCCGTGGGGGGGGTGGCTCCTCCTCCCCTTCGTCCCCCTCTTCCTCCGATGCAGCTGAAGAGCCACTTTCCAGCCTGTCGACCTCCTCCAGCAACTTGGCTCCAGTCTCCCGGCCATTTGTCACCTGCTAGGGGAGTGTCAGGGTTTCAGGACAGGAAGCCTCTAGGGCCTCCTCTATCCGCCATTCCCATCAGCAAGTCTCTGCTCCCACCTATGCCCTGCCGTGCGTGCCCGCCTCACACCTCTACCGCAAGCTCTATTTTACCTTTGAGACCTAGCTCAAGTGACCCCTCAAAGAGGCCTTTCCAAGCTCACATCCGAGCAGGAGCTCCCCCCCCCCATTGCGCCCTCCCTGGTTCCCATAGCACCTGGTGCTCTCATGTGACCATCTGCTGTTTCTATCGTGTACGAGGTTTGACAATTAAGTTCTCAAACTTTGTTGCAACGATGTTGACCTTTTTTGATATCAGAGATTATTCATTATGAATTTGTACCACCTGGACAAAGAGTTAACCAAGTTTACTATTTGGAAGTGCTGAAAAGGCTGCATGGAAGTTAGACGACCTGAACTTCTTGGCAACAATTCATGGCTCTTGCATCACGACAATGCACCAGCTCACACGGCACTGTCTAGGAGGGAGTTTTTAGCCAGTAAACAAATAACTATTGGAATATCCTCCCTACTCACCTGATCTGGCCCCCAATGACTTCTTTCTTGATCCGAAGATAAAGGATATATTGAAAGGAAGACATTTTGATGACATTCAGGACATCAAGGGTAATACGACAACAGCTCTGATGGCCATTCCAGAAAAAGAGTTCCAAAGTTGCTTTGAAGGGTGGACTAGGCACTGGCGCTGGTGCATAGCTTCCCAGGGGGAGTACTTTGAAGGGGACTGTAGTGATATTCAGCAATGAGGTATGGAGCACTTTTTCTAGCATGAGTTCACGAACTTAATTGTCAGACCTCACACACAGGTCACCTGCACCCAAGTCTTATCTTGCTACCACCACCTAGCCAAAGTGGTGGCTTCGTAACAGACTTCTGTCAAACCCACAGCTTCCCTCTCCTCAGTCCCTCAGGACTTGAGAGCTGACATGACCCAGAGCTTTCAGGCAGATCCAGGAGCAGCCTTTGTCCAAAAGGCCCCATGTGACAGAACTAGAAGGAGACCAGGTGCAGGGAGCTTAGGGCTCATGGAATAGTAAACTTGCAAAGAGAGAGCCATCCAAAGACAGAGGGGGAGGCCTCAGAGGTGATGAGCTTCCCATCTCTGGAAGTATGCAAGCTTCCCATCCAGTGCTGGAAGCCAGAACCCCCTACAGAGTCACCCTAGTCACCCAAATGGGGCGCTTCACAGCTGCGCCCATGAGAGCATGGGGTGAGGGACATTCTCCAGTATCGCCCTTCCCCTGCCTGAGCCTACCCAATCCAACAGACCCAGCAGATGCCCAGCCTCGCCACTTCCTCACCTCTCCCCAGTTCTCAGGGCCAACTTCAGCTCCAGGAAGGCAGGCAGCGGGCACCATGCCCAGCACCTGGGTGTGGGCACCCCCCAGGGGAGCTGTGTGAGGCCGAGGCACAAAGGACCCAGAAGGCAGGTCCTGCAGGAGCCCTGGGGCTCCCCAGCCAGGCCGCACCAGCTCTAGTCTTAGCCGCAGCTCGGCCATCTCCTCCTGCTGCTCACGCAGACGGTCGCTCTGCAAGACATGGCCCAGGTGCTGATGGGGGACAGATAGGGGAAGGGACGCTGCAGAGAGGTGGACAGGCAGAGGTGCAGGGGACTGAGGGAGAGGTCTGGGGATACCCGCTTCGTCTGGGCCACAACTGAGGAGGGCCAAATACCTCTAACCGCCTCTTGGTCCCCACCCTACCCACCCACCCACCCACACTGTACTAGTTCAGGCTCAAGCTCTCACACCACCAGCCGCCTAGCACTCCCTCCACACCAGTCCTCCACGCCCATGCCGATCACTGCCACCAGAGGGCGTCAGGAGCAATGCTGGCCCAGTTACCTTGGGATAAAGGGGTCTGACTCCAACTGCCCCTCCTCACTCATGACCATACTGCACACCCGCCCGCACTATTGTGTTCCTCACCTCCACACTTGTGCTCATTTGTGCATGCCCCCATCTCTACCCACCCTGCCGGAATGCCCCATGGCCGATTTCCTCTCACCCCAGGAAAACTCAGCTCACTTTCATCTCAAGGGAGCCTTCTCCCCACCGTGGAAGGGGCGGCCCCACCTGCAGCTTGTACTGCTCCATGGCGTCCTCCAGTGCAGCCAGAAAGTCTCGGTTCTCTTCCTCCAGCCTGGCTACCTGACTCTGCAGGGCCAGCAGCGCCCCCTCGTCTTCCTATGGGGAAGTCAAAGGGGTTTCAGCACCCGGAGCTGGCAGGACCAGCCTGCCTGTCCCTGGTACACACTGGCCCTCTCTGCCCTGCTAGGGGGTCCCAGACCCCAGCTGGACTGTGGTCCCCTCTGCAAGCCGTTTGGGCCATCTCTCGTAATTATTGCTTTTATTAACAAGAACATCACCACTATTATTACAAACAACTTACTGAGCCTTCATCAGCGTGCTGCGTGCATGTTACACTTTCAGCCCTTACATCACCCCCAGGAGGCAGATACCAATGTCAATATCACCCCTATTTTAGAGACCCTGAGGCTGGGTGATGTTACCAAAAGTGACCACGATCATCGTCAGCACAAGTGCCTCTGAATCCCCAAAGTGCTCTGCTAATGGACAGGGGGCAGGGGCACTGCTGGCTGTCCAGAGATCTCCTCCCTTCCCCGTCCCGCTCCCCCCCAAGGCCACACCTGGCCCTTGGCCACCTTTCTGCCGCAGAGCCCCTGAGTGGCCTGCTCCTCCGCGGTGGAGGCGCTCTCGATGCCGCTGTCGGGCCCAGAAGCGGAGCTCAGGGCGCTGCGCTCGCCCTCGACTGCGCACAGCCAGTCGCGCACCTTGCGGACAGCGGCGCCAGGCAGCCCGGGCTGGGCCTGCAGCTCACGCAGGAGGCTGTAGGCAGCGTCGGTGCGGGCCCGGTAGCGTGCGCACTCGGCGCCCAGGCGGGCAGCCGCCGTGGCGGGGGCGGCAGCCGGGCCCGGGGGGCGCCGGCCACGGTGGATGATGCGCGTCTCCGAGCGGTGCCGAGGAGGACCCCGCGCGCAGGCCGCTTCCTCAGGCACGCGCTCGGCCTCGGGCCGCCAGTTGATGGTGGCACGGTTGCGGATATTCTGGGCGCGGCTGGCGTAGTTGAGGGTGTTGAGGGTCTCATCAAAGTCGGAGGAGGAGGGGCTCACGCAGGCAATCATCACCGTCTTGGCATTCCCGCCCAGCGAGTCTTTGAGGATCCTGGGGATGCCAGGCAGGTGCATCAGGGGCCCCCCACAGGGCCTGATCCTCGGCATGCATGGACTGCGCACCCCAAAAGCCCCACCCCTTACTTGCCTCCCCCCAGGTACACCTAGAAGCCACATAAGTGGCTCCCAGGGCCCCTTCCCCCCGTGGGCTCACCGGGTGATCTTGGAGTCCCGGTAGGGGATGTGGCTGCCACGGCGCTGGGGGTCCCCCAGGGCGCTGATGACGTTGCCCAGAGCCAGGAGGCTGCTATTGATCTGAATGCTCTCCTTGAGGCGCTCTCCAGTGCTGCCCGTCTTGAGCACCCTCTCCGAGCCTGCCAGGTCCACGAAGTGGAACTTGGAGACCAGCAGCTGGCCCGCGGCAGGGCGGGGCAGGCGGCTGGGGGTGCGCCCCCGCTGCTCCAGGGTCACGGTGAAGACCGTATGTGAGCGGCTGGACAGGCGGTTGAGGTGTGTGGCTCCCGTGTGCCGCGCGGCGTTGCCCATCTCCAGGACGCTCAGCACCTCGTCCAGGCCCTCCACGTCCACTTCCTTCACCCCACACAGCACTGTGGGCACACAACAGGGTTTCCCAGTTAGGTCTCCCTCCCAGACAGGTAAGCCACCCATCGGCAGGCGAAGCTTCCCGTCAGCGGAGGACCCTGGCTGCCTCACCAACGTTCCCACGGTCGTCTTCCCGAAGCTGGATGTCACGGCTGGCAGTGCCCACCTCAAGCAGGTCTCGGAACTCCTCCTTGTACACTTCCAGATACGACACGTGCACGAGACAGTCAAGCAGATCATTCTCATCAATAAGCTTGAAGGCCTCGGCCATGGCCCGTGGGATGATGCCCTGCTCATCCTCGTGAAGGGAGGCTGGGGAGACACCACCGTGCCTTCAGCTGGACATCCAAGGCCCCAGGGCCCCTGCCAGCGTCTGGATGGGGCTCTAGTGTGGAGAAGGCAGCAGCAGAGGCCAGGCGGGGCTAGGCAGCCTGAGTCAGGCCATGCTCCAGGGGGGAAAGGGGGTGTCAGGCAGAATCATAGAATTTCAGAGTTGGAAACAAACTCTCATGGGTCAACCAATCCCTTTCACGATATAAGCATCCCTTTCACTACATTCCTGCCAGATCATCAGATACCCTTGGCTTGATTACTTCCCAAGACAGGGAGCTCATTATCATAGTCATAGTTAGTTATCTAAAGGACTTCCTAAATTTATCCCAAGGAAGTAGTAAGTGGATGTTCAGAGCAGCACTCTTCCTCATAACCTAAAAAAAACAAAAACAAAAACAAAACCCAAACATCCCAAGTGTCCAATCCTAAGATCCAATAGGGGATCTGGTTAAATAAAATCACCTTATATTCATAATGGAATGTCAGGCAGCCATTAAAAAAATTAGATTGAAGAATACCTAATGATATAGAGATGTTCATGATATATTAAGAAAACATAACACACAGAAGAACACGTACAACGTAACCTTTTTTTTTTAAAAAAGTATAATTTTCAAAGAGAAAGAAACTGGACCGGTAATAGGGTGAGTGATTTCTGAAAGGAAATGATCAAGTAAATCTTACTTTGTGCATGTGTTTTTCTGTATTTTCCTAACGTTCCAGGACAAACAAGTACACTTTTATAACCTAAGAGAAAGCATTCACGTGCCTTAAAATGGGCAATCCCTTCAACTGGCACCAAGTGTCTCCCCCAGAGACTCAATGCCCCAGGCCTGCCATGCAGCCGCCAGAGCACAGCTCTGCCAGGACAGTCCCCATGCCAACCACTCCAACTAGAACATGGATTCCCGACTCTTGACAGCCATCCTGACCACCTCCAGAGACAAGCCCACTCCCCAAGGTCCCCAGAACCAGACAGTGTGGTCCCATCTCTATGGAGCTGAAGCCATGCACGACTCCAAGGACCCTTCCTTCCTGCCCTGCCCAGCCCATTGGCACGGCTGGTCCCACCCTGGGCTCCAGATGTGTTCAGAAAACTGCTCCCCCTCCCCCAGCATCCCCACTTCCAACAGGAAATGGCAGCGAGAGGGCTGGGCAGAAACTCAGCAGCCACTGAGGCCCCTCCACATGGGCACGGGGTCCTGGGCAGGGTCACTCACCCACACTGGCCTCCCCCATGGTGTAGGTCTTCCCAGAGCCTGTCTGACCGTAGGCAAAGACGGTGGCATTGAAGCCCTCGAAGAAAGCCTCCAGGAGGGGCTGCACGCAGGCCTGGTACACAGCTTCCTGCCCAGCGTCCTCGTCCAGCACCACATGGAAGCCGAAATGGCGGTCTCGGCCCAGGGTGACACGGCCATGCCCCGGCTCCGCCCTCAGGCAGCTCTGGTGCCCGTGCAGCAGCTCCTTGGGCAGCAGTGGGCGGACTCGCAGGGCCACCCTCACCGGGGCTTCCTCGGCCCCTGGCAGTCTGGGGGCCTCCAGCCCCATGTTGAGGGAGGGATACTCCAGGCCCTGCGGAGAGGAAGAGGCCCGTGCCATGAGCACCTGTGCTCTAGAGGCTGGACTCACCCTGCAAGTGACCTAGAGCCAGATCCTACAGCTCCTGACCTTGGATGGATACGGGAGGGGGGTGGGGGGGTGTTGGCCAAAGTTCACGTCCTTGTGCCCCAGCCTGGTGCCCCCAAGCTGCCAGGACCACGCAACAGTCCTACACAGTAACATTTTATGGCTTTCGTCACTGGCAAAATAAGGCCCTAGCTCATCCAATTATCTGGCACTTACCACACACTATGGCCGTTAACTCTTGCAGTTTGAGGTGCGACAGCAAAAACTAACATGAATTGTTTTCCTTCTTCACAATTCCACAGCAGGCTCATTCCTACTGTCGATCTTCGAACCTAAGCATACGATATTTTTCTTTCCTGATTAAGTCAAGAATTTTCACCTTTTCACTTAAATGAAGCCCTTACGGCTTCCCATATTGCCAGCATGACTCCTGTTGCACGTTGGGGCCCTTAAGTAAAATAAGGGTCACGTGAACACAACACTGATACCACGACCATTTATGCAGGGAGCGCCCACATGTGGAGGCCCTTTATTTTCACAGGTTTACCTCACTTATTACACCTTGCTTTACTGCGCTTCACAGGTGTTATTTTTTAAAACACTGACTCACATCCAAGATGGCTGGAGAAAGACATCACGAGATTTCATCACGTTACTCAAAATGACGTACAAGTTAAAACTTACCAGCGGTTTATTTTTGGAATTTTCCATTTAATATTTTCAGACCACAGTTAACCATGGATGACTAAAACCACAGCTAAAGGGGGGGGGCTACTGAATTTCTCAAGTTCACCTGTTTCTCCCCATTTTATGCAAAAGCCCTGGTCCTGGCCGGTGACATCTTAATAGAATGATCTTTACCAGCCCCTCACTGGTCTGTCTCTTTGAGCCCTCTGACACAGCAACCAGGGGCATCTTTCAAAAATGCAAACACCATCCAAACGTCTGATTAGAATTGCCCCCCAAAAGCCCCCCCACTGCCCTTGAGATTCTAAACCTTAAGGGGAAAAAACGTTAAACGGGCCCTGCATAACCTGGACTAATCACAGGTACCCCACCTTTCCTCACCTTTCTCTGCCTGAAACACACTGTTGCCCAAGCCTCCTCCTCTTCCAAGCTGAGGCTGGCTCCACCTTCAGGGAGCCAGGAAGCACCCCTGTTCCGTGCCCCTCTCCCTGGTCCTCCCCCCCCCCCCCCCCC